TATCTTTGAAAATAGAATCAACATGCTGGTTCTAGCTTGGATCTTAGTTGGAATTATCGAGGAATGAAGAAAATGTCAAATAAGGTGCTGCCACCGACTGGAATTTGGTTTCCTCTAGGAATGAATCATGATCCTCATCAAACGATCCCTATAGTCCGTGTGATTGATGATAATCACAGAAAAGCTCCACCAGACGATCGTCCTTGTATGTTCTTGAGTTTTTACCCCCTACGACAAACTCGGTGTTTGCAGGACCCACACACTGGAGCCATCCTGACTGTTCATTGCTCAAAGCTACTGTCGGTCAATCCATATACCAATAATGTGCATGGCTATTGACATCTCAATACGCTATTGTTGATAGGCAGGGAGCCGTTTTCATTCTCAGTGCATCATTGTTTGTTAAGTGAGGCCCAGCCTAGCGACAAGCACGGGTCCAATCCAATACCGGGTTGATTACATGCAACCAATCCCCAACTTCCTGGCATACCGGTGGTCAACTGTAAGCGCAAGATTAGTGGGGATGACCCTCGTATAATAAATTTCACCGAATCCTCCATTCATCTCGTAAACAGACCTTGCTTCAACATTGAATCCTTCCGAAATCTGAATTATGGGAGTTTCAGTAATTCGTCTAGAATGAATTCCCACTGTTTATACTTGAATCCAACTGATTAGTAGCAACATTTTTCCAGAATTGCTACGGCCATTGTTTATACTCAACATTGTGTAAAAAAGTCACATTTACAAAACCTGTATAACAGAATAGTTTTTTTCATGGTTCGTTTGTTGGTGTGGTACTGCCAGCTTACCCAGGTAATGTGAATTTTTTTTAAGAGATTCACAGCCGGACCCTTTGGCAAGATAAAGTTTGCCCTGATTTGTGTAAACCGCCATTCATCGTGGTCCGATGTCCAGGTAATTTCATAATACCCCCTATGGTCGGGGTCAAAGTTCCGATTTGCTGTGCACACCTCGATATTCCATCAAGCGGGTGACCATAATCAGAACCGGGAAGGTGCGCGTGGGTATGACTCCTACTCTTCCTGATTGGTTTTGAATCATGAGAACTGCCGGCGTTACACTAACCTGGTTAAAGCCCCATTTGCTGGCTTTTTGTTCTCTCACTTTGGTGAATAAGCACTTCCATCATATGAATGTAGCGAATAGGACTTCCACAGAAGCTTTCAGAGACCCTCGGTTGTATAGGAGCATCTTTCAATGTTCAATGACCAAGTATCGTCCGATATCCATCCACAACCACACTGAGGCTTTCGATGATCGAGCGCCTAGTTCGGTTTCTCGTTGACTGCTAGCAGAGATGGGTACTAAAATGCGTGTGCTACCAGGAACGAGTTTACTCGAAATCAGTGCCACTTTTCTGGATTTCATTCATGCCGCACTATTTAGTGTCATGTTTAATTTACAGCATGTTAACTTTTTTGCATATGCACTACTCCTAATCGGTTTTCTGCCTTTGATTATTTAGACACTCACCTTCAACTGGGTCTTATTCAAACTCATGTCCATCAGTGTTGTCTCCATCTTCTCTGGTTAATCCGAACGTGGTCAACTCGGAAACCTCCATGTTGCCAACTGCACTTCCAACTTTTCTCCCATCTGGACTGTCGCTTTCCACTCTGCAGCCGCAGTTTAAGACCCCAATGAGCTCTGTTTCCACATCTCTCACCGTGAACCCCAATTTTTACGGAACTCCGCATTCCAGTCTAACACTGGGCACCGAGGGGACCAGCAGCCTTTCTGGTTCCTCTTCTCTTTCTTCATCCCTAGTTTCTTTGCATTCCACACCCCCCATCGGTACTTCGTTTACACATAAATCCTGTCAATTAAACTCAGTTCCATCTACACCCCGATGTTCCTTGTGGTTGAAGTTACAAGTATGCCCCTTCTGGAATTCCTCGTCCGCAATCAGCACAACATTCCCTTCAACTTCCACTAGCTTGGATAGTACGACGGATCCACAATCGGACCGTACTTCTCCCAATCCGTGCAGTGTTCAGAATAAAGAATCATCAACCATTTTGGAGGACAATCTTGGTCGATGCCCTTTCCCTCCAAATACCTGTCCCTATGCACATCCCTCTCCGAACATCCAAGTTGAGAATGGTTTCGTGACAGTTTGCTACGATTTCATTAAAGTAAGTATTTCGGAAAAATTGTAATTTTTTACATTCACCAGCTATGAATGAGTTGGTTACATTTTATGATTCATTTTGGTATTCTGTATTTCAGTAGTCATTCGAAGGTACCCAGAAGCAGCATTTCCTAATGTCCAAAATTAATTCCTGTCTGAAAAAAAAACATAAAACCAGAAAACGACGCTACGAATTATAGTCTGTATGGCTAAATACAAAACCCTATTCAACGAGTCACCATATCATCTAGAATTCCAACTCACAATTGGTCAGTTTCCTTCGGTTCCATTCTATTGCGTCTGAGTCGTGATTTAATAACTAAAGCCTTCATGCCCCACCTGGCTGTCGTGCTAGTTTTTCCTTTATGCTTTCACATTCAGGTATTACTGCGAATGTTTTGATACCTTAGTACCAACAATACTTTCGCATCTTATACTGATAATATTCATATCCCTGAATGGCATATACATCCAGTATCTGACTGGAAAGTGCGAGTTTTGGGTTCTTTGTAACTACGACTTGCAAAATAATCCTAAAATACTGGGCTTCTACCTCGACTCTTATCCACGATGATCAAGAATTGGTTATAGTGGATTGTTTCTCTCATTTAGGTAGTTGAAACACAAATGACGGTAGAATAGCAAAAGAGGTAACCGTCCACAATTCCAAGGTAACAACCGCCTATTTGGCGTACGCTGGGCTGAAACATCTTTTCGGTGCCAACGTGATGTTCCCTTGAGACCAATAGGTGGCGTATATTGCACCGCTGTGCGACCAGTCCTGCTTCACGGTTTTGAGGTCTGAAATTTGCTCGTGGAATATATTCAGCGTCTAGAATTCTTCGACAGTCGATTTTTCCATAGTTTGGCGTGGTTTTGGTTGCTGTTTTTAAACTGCCTACTGCTGTTGCTCGGTCGATCGCTCAGAGTTTATAACCGGTATCCTTGGTAACATACCGGCGCTTGGAATTTCCAAAGATTAACGAGTTTAAATTATGCCAACTTAATGGAAATTACCAGTTGACATTGAAAAATGAAAGTTCTACAAACGAACGACGGTTCCCATCCTTAGTTTGATTTGTATTCATTCAAATACAAAAGAATTAATGATAGGAAGTCAAACATTGTAGAACCTGCATGAGAGTGACTATAGTGGCGAAATGTTGAGCTATCCGTGTCACACGAAAGACGACTGCTCTCTTTATTCGAAGTGAAAATGATTGATCCAGTTGTTATTTTTAATCAGTTATTGATTATATTCGTGCCTAAGCATTATTTATCAATACTCAGTTTCATGTAACTGTCCTTTGTTATCATTCTGTCTGAAGTACTCGACGTTCTTCTAACTCAATTTATGAATTGATTGATTCGACTGACTATCCTTCAGACTTCACCTTCACGCGCAATCCTCAGTTCAT